GAAGGCACGTCACGGCACGAGTTAACCGGCGTTGCCAGCTCTGGGAAGGCGCCTGGCGTCCCCCACCGCGATGCAGGGTGATGTTAAAGGTGGTGGGGGGTCTTGAGAGGGGCTGGAGCCTCGGCCGGGCCTCGGCAGCTTCATCCCGTGCTTGGCATCTTCCTCCTCCCGCCTGCCGGCACACACCCCTCAGCCGTGACTCAGCCTTCGCCCACGGGATGAGAATCTCTCCAAACCTCCCTCTCGTGTCAGCTGCACGAGATGGCCACAGCCACCCCTCGTTGCCTCCACCTGGGGTGCGCAGCCCCTCTCTGACCTCCTTGGGACCCCAGCCCGGGCGAGGGTCTCTCCGCTCCCCCGGGATCTCCAGCTGCAGGGGCTGGGGGACCACAGCCAAGGGCTTTCCCTTCAGGAACGCTCCTGGGTGCCCAAACCCGGCTCAAAACCCAGGCCAGGCTCAGCGCAGGGAAGATCTCCAACTCTTCAGCCCCATCTAGAGTCTGGCCAGGCTTAAGCCGGGCCCAACAAGACCTGACCCCCTGCCTGGCTCAGGAGGGGCTTCTCCTTCCCCGACCGGCTGCTGGGACCTGGTGGCTTCTCCCCCCTGACCCTGGGGCCACAGAAAGGGCCCTGGAAAGCCAGAGAGGGGGGAATGCAGCAGGTCTACCCTGACCCAACACGGGGACAAGATGGGACAAGGCAGAGCCTTGCACAAGCGGATGCTCCCGGCTTGAGGAATAACCTCCGTCCCTGCTGGATTTGCGTATGTAGGAGGATTCGGGTGCTGATGGAGGGCCACCCCACAAGGCGACGAGAGCCCTGATGTGCTCTTAGCCCATCAGCTGTCACTCTCCTGGACGTCTCCATGAAAATAAAAGGGCTTTGAGATGTTTGCCTCTCACCAGGGCAGGGCCTACACCTCCTGGACAGAAAGGATCGCTGCACAAAAACAATTTGTGTTTCCGAGGGCTCTCTCACATCGCCTCATGCAGAAGAGTCCAAGGCTTTCCTTGTGTTGCCTTTGCCCACTGAACCCCCATCTTTTCCCCTCTTCCTGCTCCCTGTCTAAGACGATTGCACAATATACATTTCATAGCCCTGCCACGCAGTCTGGACATCCTTCTTTCACCCTTTTTCTCCTCACCCCGGTGCCAACGCTCACCGCCCTGCCAGAAAACTGCAGATAAACCCACAGCTCAGGGGAGAGCAGAAGGGAGGGCTCTTATCTCTGCCTCGCTTCCCTCCTCTGCACTGCCTTGTTACCATGACAAAACCTGCATTTTTTTTTAAACACCACGCAGACACAGTTGATCTCTTTGAGAAGCAACCAGGGAGCAGTCACAGGGACCTTCAGATGATGGCATGTTTTCAGCAGCTTCTCGCCAGCTGACATCAGGAAGGTCCTCACGCTGCCGTTGGGGACAGTGGGACGGAGCAGGACCCAGCGGGATCCGGAGGAAGCAATTTTGGCTGCAGAACGGCACTCCTCCGCAGCCCGCAGCCTTCGCTCCCTTAAAACGCTCCTGCAATCACATGCCCTTGTCCCTCTCGCAAAGCAGAAGAGGAATCCAAATATGGCCAGAGACAATAAAATCCAAGCCTACAAGTTCTGGCGAGGATCTCTGCTCCCCAAGGAGCCCAGTTCAAGTCTCCCCGCGCAGTCGGCGAGAGCCAGGAACCATCAGCTCCAAGCTGCAGGAGCGCAGGGCGATTCCTCCAGCCCCTGGCCAAGCGCCCTTCTCCAGACAGCTCCAGGGGCTTCTCTCGTACACAATCCCGGCAGCAAAATCCAAACATGCTCGCAGCAGCTTGTAGCTTCCCTACAGACATTCCCTGCAGGGATAATGGGGAATAAAACTCACCCTGTGACCTTACAGCTAATGCGGACATCGTCCAAACGCTGCAGTGACCAAGCGCTCAGGACCTTCTCCGACGGAGTTCAGGGCAAGGGATTCTCCCATGTCCTTCATTGTAATCGTGACACTTAGCGCAGCTGCAGCTGCAAAGGGGCCATCCGTAGGCACAGCACGGAAAAGCCGCTGCCAAAGGGCAGAAAGACCAGAGTAATGCAGGTGTTTGGAGCAGACAGCGAGGTAGAGTCGTCCAGAAATAGAGAATATGACCCCCCAGTGCAGTCCGGAGACAAGAACACCTCCAGGAAGGCAGCTCACGTCCTTTTTCATAGAACCGTAGAATCATTATGGTTGGAAGAGACCTCAAAGATCATCAAGTCCAACCGTATACCCGATGCCACCCTGTCCACTAAACCATGTCTTGAAGTTTCCATCACTCCGGTTCTTTCCTGCAACCTCGACATTTGCCAGCTAAGGCCGGCACCCCTTTCTGAGTTGCCCTTGGCCACTGCCACAATTAAATGCCCTCAGCATGAGTGAAGTCCTACAGCCATCGCCAGGGGCTGGGCAGCACGTAGCACCCTGTCACAGGCAACAGCAAGGCCATCAGGAGCAGGGGAAGGGGGAGAAGAAGCCACAGAGCCGTGACCGTAACACTGTCGTCGGAGGGGAGGATAAAAGACGTGCACTTCTGTAAGAAGAGCCAGAGTTAAGGAGCGGATGGACAGCTGAGATGTCCCATATCCCTCGGCTCTGGATCATTTCATGCCAGCCACACAAAGAATTCAAGTGGCTTGTCCTCTTGCAGTAGATCTAAGCAACATGCCCGCTGGGCATGTGGTCCCAGCATCAGGGAACTGAAAACAAATATTTACTGAACTACTAAGTGCTCTTTCCACACTTGTGAACAGACACTTCTATTTGCACTTCCCTGTGCAAACAGAACAAAAGCCACAACTCTTTCGTGCTCACCAGCCCCGAGTTTGCAGGCAGCCTCCTAGAAACCAGCGGCAGAGAAACCCTCGGCAAAGGTGAGAAGCGGGTGTCCAAGAGGGACAACCCTGCTTGGGTTGGCAAGCACCCATCAGGGCAGAGGTTCACCCAGAGGGGATGCCAGCAGCCCAAAGGTGTCCCAACCTAACGCCCTGGAGCAGAGAACCACCCCCAAAGCCCAGCCTTACCGGGGATGAGCTGGCAGCGGCGGTACAGGAAGGTCTGGTAGGCTGTGTAGTCCCGGTAGATGGTGTGGAACCCCATGCTGACGCTCTCCAGCCAGTGCGTGGTGGCACGTCCGTGAGCGTACACCTCCAGCGCCCGTAACCGCAGCGTGCCGCGTAGCTTCAGCCGCACCCGGCCGCGCAGCAGCTCCCCGCTGCTGTAGACGCCCCACGCTCGCCCACCCTCCAGCTCCACCGTCAAGCTCCGCAGGCGCCACGGGGGCTGCATCGCTGCTGGCCCCCCTTATCCGGCAGCTCTCCAGGGAAGAGAGGAACGAGCAAAGGCTACCCCGGGATCCCCTAATTTATCCCAGCCCAAACCCTGCAGGCCTAATCTTCCCCAGGGCTGGACTGAGCCCCTGTTTCGCAGTGATATTTTAGCGTTGACCTCGTGTGCGTGAGGCTGATTCCGTGCCAAGGATGGTGCCGCAGAAACAAGTGATGTGTTTTTAAAGCGATCGAGAAATAACGTGACTTCATCTTATCTCGGAGTCACAGCCACTGTTGACGTGCAACTGGTACGTGCTGGTGGCTCCGTCAGCAGGGAGGGGTGTCATGCACCACCAACCGTGCCGGCAGATTTCACGCAGCTGGGGGAATCAAAGAAAGGCTCTTTGGCCTTCCTGGTTCAGGCATTCC